GCACCTCAGGGCCTCGGTGGTGGGCGCAGCTGAGCTGTGGCTCTGGTGTGCTTTCCCCCAGGAGGGACAGGAGAACGTGGAAATCCTCCCGTCTGGAGAGCGGCAGCAGGCAAACCAGAAGCGGATCACCACCCCCTACATGACCAAGTACGAGAGAGCCAGAGTCCTGGGCACTCGTGCTCTCCAGATAGCGTGAGTACCCCTCTCTGTGCCCCAGCACTGCCACAGCTTCTCCACCCTTGCCAGTGGAAAGTGCTTCCCTCTTCCCTTAAAAACTCCTTGATCCTTTGCATGACTGCTGGGCTTGCACATCATCCTCTCGGTCAACACTGAAGCACAGGACTGTGGAGTCCTTAGCTGCACCTGAAATCTCTGTGTCTCTCCCTGGCTGAGACTGTGCTAATTGTACCTACAGAGGGGAGAGCATTTAGTAGCCACAATGAATTCTCCTAGGTCACAGGCAGAATTATTAGGGAACAGGACAAGCTGGATCTGGTTTCTGTATTTCCTAAGGGTGTCAGTGTGGACTGGAAAGCTCCTAAGTGGTTTGTAAAAGCCAGTGTTGGAGGGAGGGCTGCTCCAAGATATCTTCAGTTGATACCGCAAGGCTGTAGGAATTTGGAGTGGAGAAACCAACCTGAAATCCACTTTTAGTACCATTGCATTCTGGCAAGCTGTAAGTTTTTTAGAGTATTTGCAATAATAAGGCTTTATTTATAATAGTTAATGACATTTAGAATCTATTTTAAGCGTTGTTGAGGCTGGCTGCTCTCAACCCATTTATCTGTGTTTTAATAAAAACTGTCAAGAAGTTTTGTGCTTTTTGAAAAGTTGCCTTTGAGTGAGGTTATTGGGCAGCAGCAAGGTTTTGAGTTTCCACCCTTTTCCTTGGATTAATATTAAAATACTCTTTTCCTCATGTGTAAGGGTGACTAGAAGGGTATGTGAGCAGCCCTTGAGCATGAGCTGGTCAACAGAATCTGAGGGATGGAGCAAGAAGAACATTCAAGTAAAAGCTCAGTCTGTAACCACCTTGTGGGAATTTTCTTCTTGAAGTACATTACAAAGTGAATCAGTTTTGCTAAAGTGGTGTCCCACCCTCCTGCTTTACTGGCATGGTACCTGTCACTTAGGCAGGCACATGCGCAGCTGTCTTACTTCCCTCTCTGTGCTTTTGCTCATAAGGTTGTTGATGTTCTTCCCAGGATGTGTGCCCCTGTGATGGTAGAGCTGGAAGGAGAGACAGACCCTTTGCTGATTGCCATGAAGGAGCTCAAGTAAGTCACAGATTTGGTAGGCAGTGTAGTGATTTCCATAAAGTCCTCCTCATTCCAGCATTTAGCACTTTATTCCAAGACAACCTTGTTTTCCCTCAATAACAGTGAGCACTAGAGTTGCCTTCTCTCTTTCTTCACCTCAGAGCTTCCTCACAGCTGCTCTCTCCCACCCTAGTTGCTCGTGTGAAGTACTAATGATTAGGAGTGCTCTGGACATCTGCTACTTCAGAGTCCAAGCGTCCTCACCTTTCTGGAATCAGTTTAACTCCCTGAATGGAATTGTTTAGAAGCAGCCGTCTGAACAGACCTGTGTTCAAATGAAGCGCTGGCAGAAATTACAATAAGGATCAGGCTGAGGAGATTGTTTGTTTCCTGCGCCCTTGCACTTGAGACTTACTGTGCTTGACCCCTGCTTAACAGAAAGGAAAATAAATGCTTTTTGACTCTCACAGAGGCAGCTCTGGGATGACCACCTCTCCACAGCAGAGCTCCCTGCTGTCCCATAGTTTGCCTGCATGGTTGGTGACCTAGATCAGATGTAGGTATCCTTCAAGCAGAGCAACTGGACTCTGTTACTGATTAGGTTCCTGTCCTTGAACTGAATTGTCCCTCCGCTCCCCCAGTTTCTCAGTGTGTTGAAGTTGCTCTTGCAGATTTTGTATCTATTACAGCTCCTTTTGTCATGTTCCTGTCAGATCTCCAAGCTCAGACTGAGTTGCTTCTGGTCGCTGTGTGAGCGTGAGCTGTAGACAATAAGTCAGGGTGTGACACAGTGTGGTGGCATCCTGTTCTGTGCCAAAATTCAGCTGTAATTCTTGGCATGAGGGAGCTGCTTTGCTACTGGAAAAACCATGTCCCTGAATGTGATTATTTAAAGAAGTTGTGTTACTTTCCAAGTCTGATACAGTTGAAACCTGATGCCCTGATTAGATTCCAGACTGATTGCATTTTGCTGACTTAAATCTACTTCATTAAGTTCAATTGTGTTCAACATTTTCTTGTTTTCCAATTGAAAGCACTGCTAGCAGGTGCTGTGCTCTAACCCAGCTGTACCAGGTTTTGGTACCTGAATAGTCCCTGTTATATGAATCCTTAAAATGTAACTGTTCTCAGGATGCAAAAATTCTCTCTAAATGTCAGTTTGTCCTGGAAGTTCTCAGAATTTTGCCACTTCCGTAGTGTCTTGTGGGGGAGAATCTTCCATCAAACAAAAAGTGGATTTACTATTCAAGTCCCTTGATTATTATTTCCCCCCCCCCATATCAGTGTTAGATGCTGGTGGTTCAGATCACAGGGCTCAATTCCTGCAGTAGCAGCAGGCATCTGACCTTCTGTAGGTCTTTGGTGTTCCAAGACTAAGGGTACTCAGTGCTTCGCACCTACGAACGACAGAAGGTTGTTGAGACTCAGTATATAATATCAAATCACTGGTGCTACACAGATCTCAGTTAAATCTGATGAGGTTACTGAAGCCACCAAGCACCTCAGTTCCCACTGCCTACCTAAGAGAAGGCTCTGACATTTGTGTTCACTTCTGTCTTCCCTTCAGAGCACGCAAGATCCCCATCATCATCCGCCGTTACCTGCCAGATGGGAGCTATGAAGACTGGGGTGTGGATGAGTTAATTATCACAGACTGATCAGCCTCCAGCCATTGTTCTTTCCCAGAGATGTTTCTATTTTTGTCTAGTATCTGTGTAAATAAATTATAAATCTTGCCATTTTAAGTTCAATGTGTTTGAGTTTTTCTTCCCTCCTGCTTTTGCTTTCATCTCAGTCCTACATGCCCAAGAGATGACTTTCTTACCTCTCTACACCAGCTTGTCATTCTTTCTCTGTGTGTCATGGGCTGTATTAGTAAGATCAGGGAACCAAGTGCCAGTGCTTTTCTTGCAGCTTTTTTTCACCTTATCTTTTAGCTAGGCTGAAGTCCGCAGTAACTACTTCCTCCTCCTTCAGAACTGCTCCTCCCTTGTTACAGGACTGAGAGCCAATTAAACTGCTGCTGAACAGAAATGGCCTTGCAGATAACTCTGGCTTCAGAAAGACTCTATCCCTCCACCGCTGTCCCTTCTTCAAACAGGAGTGCTGAGACACCTCCATTGCTTCCCCCTAAACAGTTGGGCCTTTGTGCCCAGAGCAGGTTGCTGTGGAAACCCCCAATTTCCTCTTTGGCTGGTGCTGACTGTGGGGCTTCTCAGGAGTATCGCAGAGCAGCTCTCATCAAATCACCTATTGTTTCCCTGCTCCTGCTGCTTATCAGAGGTGGGGATCCCTTTCAGTGGCACTGCCCCAGCCGGAAGCACAGTAGCCACTCACAATTCCACCAGCTCAGCAGTCGTAGGTTGTTTTGTTGCACTTGCTCCTCATGCAGCTGTTCTCTGACACTGATGGTCCTAGGCCTGTGGGTGCTCTCCAGCCATCTCAGTTGTACATACACTGGTAGCTCTTAACAGTGACACAACAGTGGTTAAATCCTGGAGTTCCTTTAATCTGTGTTGTGATGAAAGATCAGTCATTTGGCCCCTTCAGGTACCTGCACTCTCACCTCTGGGAGGTGACATGCTCAAGGCAAGAGCTGGGTGGATGCCTTACAACCTGTGAAAGCTTCCAACCAGCTACTACCTAGTTTTCATTTCTTGATCTGTGTGCTTCTTGCTCTGCATGAGGAAGATCTGAGCTCTTGAGCAGAACATACCAAGTCTTTCTCAAGTATCTTATTAAAGGTGCTTTCAGAATTTTTGTTTTCTATTTTTGAAGAGATGAGAGAGAAGATGCGCCTCACCTATGGTTTCTGCCTTATATTGATCTTTTTCTTTACACTAGTCCAGAAAGAATATTTCCAACTGGTTTGTGTTAAAGCTTGTGCTTATATAGAAGTATTTATTCTCCATGCTGTATGTTTGGTCGGTGCCTGCACGTGAGCATCCATGTCCCAAAGGGAGTTTATACCCACCTGCCTGGGAACTCGGCTCATATAACCAACCATGAATGTCATTCCCTTACTGCTTCCTGTAAAAGCACCAGTCATAGGATCAGAGAATCATCAAAGCTGGAGGAGATGTCTAAGATCATCAAGTCCAACCATTAACCTGCCACTCTGCTGGAGCCCTTAAACCCTAAACCATATCCTCCAACGTCAGATCCAGACACCTTTAAACACTTCCAGGGATGGTGACTCCACCACCTCCCTGGGCAATCTATTCCAGTGCCTGAACACCCTAACAGGGAAAATTTTTTTCTAATATCTAATCTGAATCTCCCCTCTCTCACCTTACGACCATTCCCTCTAGTTGTCTCCCTGCGGCCATGGCAGGAGAGACCATTCCCCACCTCTCTACAATCCCGTCAGGGAGTTGTAGAGAGCCATGAGGTGATCCCTGAGCCTCTTCTCAAGGCTAAACAAACTCAATTCCCTCAGCCCTTCTCATACCACATATTTTCCAGACCTTTCTGAGCCTTGTCCATCCTTCCTCTGTTGGTGTGCACAGGAGGGTCTGGTTTGGGAGGTGATAATGCAGGAGCTGAATGGGTCCCTGGAAGACAGGTCAAAGGGAATGTGGAGATGGTTGCAGGTGTGGGAAGGGGGTTGACTGTGAGGAGCACAAATGCTTCCTGGCCTCGGCCATCCATTCCAAGAAAAGGTTAATTTGCAACACTGTGGCCTTCAGCCTTCTCCCCCCACCCTCCATGGAATCCTTTAATCACGTTGGTGCGGTGAAATTTCAGCCCTGAAATGGTGCCTTTGTGCAGTGGTTTTGGCGTCTGCCATGGAGCGCGGGGTCGTTCTCTTGTCCTTTTTTTTGAGTTTTTTTTTAAATGGCTTCTTTGTTCCCTCCCCTCCTCCCCTCCCCAGCTCTGCATCTGTATCAGATACGATTAAAGGGGTAAGGAAGGATGCGAGGCCAGCTCCTGCTATGCTGCAAGAGGAGTGGTTAACCCCTCTGTTACCAGTGGCATCCTCAGTCCTGTTTTAGCTGTGAGGACCCTCCTATGTGAGAGGAGGCATCCCTTTCCACTGCAGAATGGTTGATGCAGAGCCCACTCACTTTCTTAACTTACTTTGTGAAGAGCTGGAAAAGGGTACTTAGGTGTGGTTAAGAACCTTCTTTTCACACTGTATCACTTCTCTCTCCCATCCCTGCAATCAGCTCTCATACTCCTAACTCCACCATTGCTTCCCTTCTTCCACACATATGTTCCTGACCTGCTCAGCAGTGCAGTAGTTCCCTTCCGGGCTCTTCCTACAGTCTGTAAAATTTGGGGTAGAGATTTCTTCTCCTCTCCATGCATGGTCAGTCCTATTTTGCATGGAACTCTGCCTGTATTAGATCCATTAAGCCATTCTGCTGCAGATGTTCTTTGGCCTATACACAACTTCAAATAGTGCTGTGCTTTTTACAAAGTTTTGAACGTGTTCCCCAGTTCCTCGATGTCCTGCTTAATCTACTCACCCACAACATGTTTAGTGAACACAAACTCACTGGATCTGCTCACATGCATTAGCACCAAAACCCTCTGGAATCAACTTGTAATTGTGGAGTCTGTGTTAATTGGGCTCCTACCTTGCTGCAGTTGGTCTAGAGAGATGTTCTTAAGCAGAGTGATACCTGCTACACATTTTCTTTCCAGACACATTCAGATACTGCCCCAGGACCCGACCACACCCAGAATGTCTTTAACAAGTAAGGTCTATACATCTGTTCTGGAATATACTCTCTATGTTGGTAGTGTTTGTATTTAGGTTCTTGCCTGTGGAAGGCAAGGGGGGGGTGAGTTTCTACAGGGAAACTAATGGTTGCTTCCAAAATACACAAGTTTGTGTATGTGGGGAAGGTTTTTTTTGGTTATGTCACCTGTTACCTGGTGATGAGGATCCAAGATGAGAAACCCCACACTCCCATCCTAGAGAGCATAAACAATCACACTAAGAAATTTTTGGGTGAAGCATGTGCAAAATGGTGCTCTTAATTGCATGTGCTGAATCTCACCTGAAGAACAGAAATCAGTGCATTTCTTACAGAAGAAATGACTGAAGGTGAGGTGTGAACAGAAGATGAGCTTCATCTCCATGAAGGACTCTGGTCAGCCAGTCAGAGTTCTGCCTGTGTCCCTCTCCTGAGGGGCAGAGGAAGGCTGTGCACAGGATCCATGTGATGGTGGTGTGATCCATCATACACTTACAGGGGGGAAAAAACAAGAGACATGCAGGGAAGAGGCTGAAAAAACCGAGACACATGAAAATGAAACTTTTAAGTTTATTATTCCATATGTTTAATGCAGAGTTAATGGTGCTAGGGCAGCATAGAGACTGAGGAAAGGGAGGTGGGGGAGGAAGGTGCTACTTGCATAAATAAGGGGACAGGGCTGGACGAGGTTACATGCGTACAAGGAGCAAACATTCTATGTGATCTTTTCAGACACCACAAGGGTAAGTCATCCGTAGCTAAGGGAGGCAGGAAGGGCATCTGACAGTCATTTCAGCAGAGAGATACAGCAGCACCGATCACAGTCCATGTTTGGTTAAGTCTCTTTCTAGACTGCATTGGAAGGTCCCACAACATGTCTCTCTGATCAATTACCAGGAGTCATCTTTTCCTGCAGCAATTTTTGTGCCAGTTCACTCCCTGGCATGACAAACCACCCCAGTCCTGGAGGTGACAAAGGGGTAGCAAGCAGACTGTCCTCAGCTGTTGGCCGAAAAAGAGGTTGATCTGACTGTGAGAGCTGATCGCTTCCAATTTGAAACCCAATGGGGAAAACAGATTCCTTTGAACCTAAATAGACTTCTTTTCTTTACGCTCATCCAAGATCGGGTGTGTATCTACCTTGCTTAAAGCCATAGGAATATCTTTCCATCCTCAGCGTAGATTGGAGGGAGGTGTCGCCTGACTGGGAGACATGATGAACAAATGAATGGGGGTACACATCCCATTGGCCTAGGTTTGGAGTGGGAGTTCAGAGTATTGGAAACAACTCAGGTTGTTGACAAGTGCATAGTAGCATTCTTGGTACCCCTTCATGTCAGGTAGGCACAGTCAAATGTGGAAGAGCAAGGACCAAGTTTGCTCAGAGGTTGTTTGGGATGCTGAAGAGACTAGAAAAGACTGAGAGGCCAAAAATGCCAGACATAAATGAACAAAACAGAGTAATTTTTTTAAGCACCTTAATGATTCACTGTCCTTCCCCACCTGTCCTCTACCTCCGTACATGAAAACACATGTGCATACAGGCTGTAAAATAAGTAACCGACAATGTGGTTGCCAAGTCCCATGCACTGTTCAGGAAAGCCTTAAAACCTCCATGCTGGAAAGGGTGTAGGATTAGGGACAGGATGGAGTGAGGAGATGGGGAGAAAAGCTAGGGTGCAGCTGTGGAAGTCAGCAGGGAAGCAAGCATAGGTTGGTCTTCCAAGGGGTTCAAGATTCATGCATGTTTGAATCTTAGGCAGGACTGCTGCACGATGCTGATTGCAAGGAAGCCAGCCGTGTCATCCTCCCTACTGCTCCCCCCAGAACACATCCACCAAGGCTGAGCAACCACCCTTCACCTGCAGTAGGTGACAAATTGTTGGCCATTGTGGCCTGTTGGACACACTTACTAACTCCCTGGAGCAGTTTGGGGAGGGGAATGAAAGGACAGTCTCTCTCATCGTACAGTCCAGGGTGTGCACAACGAAACCCACCACAGACCAGTCACTCCATGTCGAGAATCCTCCTCATCTAGAAGGCCAGTAAGGTGTCACAAGCC